AATTCATTCTTAGACAAAGTCAAGTCACGTGATATATTTTTAGACAGTAGTCATTTGGAAAAAAATAATATATTTAAGATAAAATAGTTTCAATACAAAAAATCTCTTAGAATTAATGTCATGTACATTTGATGTGAAACGGGGGCTAATACATGGCAATTTACGAAATATTTTGCGTATTTAAGTAACTTAAAAGTGCATTAAAGTCTCATACTAAAACAGGTTTATTTCACAAGAAAAACAAAGGATATGGAAAACAAACAAAATATCATATATTTGAAAAAATCATCTATTTTGTTTTGGAATCGTTCCTTATTCATGTATATAAAGCTTGTAGATTTACACATACAAATATAGAAATCAAGTATAAATCTGAAAACCTTACACACACTTTCCGTAGTGCTGGATGGTAAAAATAAACCAACATAGAAAAGGGGGCATAAATCTGTTAACATGCTTATCAGAGACTTACCTGCCCTTGAAAGTATAAACAAATATTTCAAGTTTGAAGTGAATGCCTTAAAAGTTTTTTGAGAAAAAGGCAAATGTTCTAAATCAAACAAGTGAAATAATAGAGCAAAAGGGGCTTAAAGGATTATCTCCCCAACAATTGCATTTCAAATTGATAATTGACATGTACTTCAAGTTTTCATTGAATATATTTGATACTATTTTAGGAATGTACCTTAACAAAAAATTCAAAGGGACGTAAAACAAAAGAAATAAATTAAAAAGTTACCTGCCCTTTAGAAATGCATTCCCATTTAAAAAAGAAAAAATAATTCAAGTTAGAAGTAATTAAATCTCACAATTTTTGAGAACTTGGCCTTAAATAATACATTCAGTGAAAGAAGGGGCATAACTTTGCAAAATTGAATTTAAAGAGAACGCCCTTATGACATGGTGTCATATTTTGATAGTGTACATGTATATCAAGACTGTAGTGAATTAATTTGAAGTTACTCCGAAAATTAACCTTTACTAAAACATAAGTGATATCGAGATCGAGTTCCATTTCATTCTTAAGTGTCCAGTTTACCAAGAAATTCGAGAGAAATATGTTCTTAGAAAATATATCGTAAAACTTTCACACAAGAATTTTAACATTTTAATGACTAAACAATATGAGTATGTATAAAACACTCTAACATTTTACATTTGGTACGCATTCAAATAACGAATAAGGAAATGTACACAAGTACACTGTGAATATTTGACTTGAATGATAAATATATACATGTACTTTACAATGATAATGCAAAAATCATTCATGCCCTATGTAGCTGTCAAGATTGTCAAGACGATTAATGTTAATGCTACTTGTAATTCCGATTTCCTCTCTCATAAGCATTTTGTTCACACGTATATTATATATAATTATGGACCGCTGGCCTCTAACAAATGAAACATCAAAACTTCAAAAGTCATGCCAAAAAGGTTAATCAGGGCTCAAAATCTTAATTGAAATGGGGGTATAACCTTTAAAATAGTACCCTTTCATGACAATAAACATGTCCACTAAGTTTTAGGTGAATAGAAGCACCATTTTATCTTTTATAGTTTCTGAGAAAATAGAACTTAAAAATATAAGTAAAACCAACGGTCACGCCAACGCCAATGAGAGGGTCATTACAATGTGTCCACATTTTATCTCCGAACAGTGGAGTTAACGTATTTATTTCACCTTGATTGTGAAACAAGTTGTTGATAACGGCAGACAGACTGACAGCGTCATCTCATAAAACGTCCTGAAGGTCTTTGGTCTTTATAAAAAACATGAGAAAATATTAACAAGTCAATGAGTCATTGAAATACACAACAATAAATAAAGGGCTTGTTTATGAAATGAGTTGTTGTTCAGACAGACGGACAAACTGAGAGCGTCATGCTATAAAAAATTACTAAGTCAGTGAGTCACTAAAAACATAGCAACCTATAAACGGCTAAAAATAAACAACATGAACAGAAATCATATCTTCCCATAACTAAATTGCTATGTGTCAAAGAAAATATATTTCTTCATCATTTAAACCACCGCTTGAATGACATCATGCAAACAAATGTCATTTCTTTTAAACGTTAGTTTCCTTTGGTAACCTTTTTTTCCAGAGTATTCCCATCATGGACTTTTCTTTCTTCGGCTTAAAGCACACATCGTCTGTTAATCTGTGGACAATGCATGCTGTCATCTTGAATGGTAAAATTGTTTTTAAAATCTCAGTCATTTGTTGCTCACTCAGCTGATTATTTATCACCCAACCAAGATAAGGTTCCACCACTGAAGGATCGCCTTTCAACTGGCTCCTGTGCTGCTCGCCAATGATTTTAACAAGCTTTTCATGATTCTCTTCGCTGCTCAAATATTTAATTGTCCGATGTAAATAGTTTTTAAATGTCAAAAGCGGATCAAATGATCGACCAGTCCGCCTTGCTGCCCCTTGTTTTCTTAGATTTGTTATTAATATTTGATTAAGATCTGGGTTGTATTCATACCTTGCCATCTCATGACTTACATGTGTAAGGTACTGTAAAAGGTTACACCCATTAAAAACTTCATTCAACTTCTCATTTAAAAATTTGATGAGATAGGATCCGGTATTCGGGTTTCGAAATGCAAATTTTCCTTAAACAAAAAGAAATAGTAAAAAATGAAATAACAACAAATTTTAACATTGAAAAAAAGCTATTGTAATAAAAAAAATATATTTTAAGTTGTAAAAACATAAGATTTATGACCAAGCATAAATAAGATTCTATTAAAACATGAACTAATTTTATGTCTTTCGACCTCTTTTTCTTTCGATTATATTTTTTCTATACGGCAAAAACAGTTCATACCTTTTACATAAATTAATGTCTTAGCTAATTAGTTCATAGCTTAAGACCGTGGATATTTTATGGTGTAGGTACAGTCCTTGCCAACTATTCTAACGAAATGGTATGTCATTTCTAACGAAACATTATGGCATTTTCAATAAATGCCCATTTTTTTATCAACGCAAGCGTTTGTTTATTTTTTTTTCCTCGTGCCAAACAAGCTCGATCTAGACCGATTTTCTCTGATATGGACAGTACTTAAATAGCTGTAATCTTTTATATTCATAAATTTATTCATACCGCAATGTTCTTTTATAACAAATAAATGAAACTACTGAATTACTTTCATTTTAACATGAATGAAATTAATGAATTCGCAGTAGATTAAACAAAGCTTGGAGCATCATGAGAGTCCAATGAAAATCGACATTATAAACAAGACGGTCCAATGAAAATCGACGTTATAAACTAGACGGTCCAATGAAAATCGACATTATAAGCGAACATCGACATTATAAACGAGACAGTCCAATGAAAATCGACATTATTAACGAGACAGTCCAATGAAAATCGACTTTATAAACAAGAACTATGGTTGACAATCCAGCGGATATTGAAGAAATTTTAAGGTTTATTTATATCAACTCACTGCTAAGGACATGTTAAGAAGAGATTTGTGTGGATGAACGAGCTACATTCAGTGATTACTACAATTCTATTTGACCATTTTGCTATTTGTTAAGTAAGCAATGAATACACTTGAAAATATATATGCTTGTGTTTGCTAAATAACATACACAATTGTTTTCAAAATTATCTTTGTGAATAAAATTTTAGCAAAGCAAAAAAGTCAGAAAAATGCATGAAACTAGAAATTTTCACCTGACATCACTGGATACATTATCAGAAAATCATCCGGACAATTAAGAGGTACAATATCGAATGGCGACGGCGGCAACTGTCCACTATCTCCACTACCTCCGGTGTCAATTTCTGTGACTTCCCCTACCGCATCTTGATCAGTTGCTTGGTCAGAACTTCTAGAGATTTCCCCCGGTTGTAATGCGTCCGAATCTAAACGGAACAAAATAGAAACACAATAATTACATATGGTCAGTGTATTTTTGTAAATGTTATCAAAATCAGTTTTCATGTTGGTACAAATTGTATTGGCAAGTTTTGTCAAAATAAAACAAACAATCATTAAGTAACACTTCATAAAGCTATAATTTCCTATTTTAATCTCAATATTTCTATAGTTTTTTTTCAACTAACATTTTTCCTAAACCTACAATTTACGTTTATAATGACAAACCCTTTAAGCAATGTTATTTAAAGTAATTGAATTATTTCCCAACCACATGTCCATGCATATCATGTGGCGCAGGAATGAGAAACAACAAAGGATTTGTTCAAAGATAATGCCGAATTTTTTTAATCTCTCTGGCTGAAAAAGAAAAATAGTAAGAAAATAGGCTGAAATATCATAAAATGAGCCGCGTCACAACAAAACCAACATGATGGGTTTGCGACCAGCATGGATCCAGACCAGCCTGCGCATCCACGCAGTCTGATTAGGATCCATGCTGTTCGCTTACAGACCCTATAACAAGTAGAGAAACTGATAGCGAACAGAATGGATCCTGATCAGACTGCGCGGATGCACAGGCTGGTCTGGATCCATGCATGTCGCAAACGCACTATGTTGGTTTTGTCGTGACGCACCTCAAATGTAGCAATTTAAAAATATATATAATTTATATTCGTCAATCTTAAGAATGATCATGACAGGAAAAGACTTTCCTGGATATATTTGTCATGAGGATTAAAATATATAGTCTTAGCATCAACTTATCCATTTCTTCCAGACTGATCTACATTAAACTACATGAAGAAATGCCGCAATGCGAAACGACACCTTTTTAACGTACATGTCACACGGGAGCTTCGTCATCAAGTGCCATAACTATGCATATTGCGATTCGAACATTTCATTTTGGGGTAATTATGGCCTTTCGATTTTTTTTTTTCATATATGATATATAGATGAAAAAATAATTTGTATCTTTCATGTTTCAACAAATTTGAAATGTTAATCATTCTAATTAACATAGAAGTAATCAAACCCGAGCTATCAGTGACAGTGATTTACCTGTAAAACGAAAACAGGTCTTTGACCGTAACTCAAAATTTAGTGTCCGAAATGACAAATACATGTTGTGGCAAAGCCAAACATATGAAGAAATTCTAGGCTGACAGTTGTATGAAATTTCAAAATAGATGAAAAATTTTCTAAAATCAAAGAATAGTTGCACATCTATGTAAAAAACAAAGAACCATATTTCTGCCAGAATGTTCGCAAAATATGCGCCAGTGCTCTGGATGATGATGATTCTGTAAAAGTTTAGCAAAAATTGCTTGAGAAATGTAGGGGGAATTGAAAAAAAAAGGTATTTCTGCTTTTAAAAAATGTTTAAATCCCCAAACACTGAAAATTTTTTCGAAAGGGCATCGGAGAAAGTTTAGTCTAATAAAGTAGTAGCAGTTGAGAACAGAAGTGTATTTCTCTAGGTTTTATACTACAGTGATAAGAGAGTAAAAAGAGCTACAGGATTGAACCTGTAAGCAAATTGTATGAAAAGTAAATCTTATCATAAAAATTACCTCTCCAGACAAACCTATCCTCTTGAAAATTGACTGCACAAAAAATTAAAGATGGCTGCTTTAAATAGACAAAGAAGGAAAAAAGTGGTCTAGAGTGACGTCCTCCACTACTAACAACAAAGTACAATAATTCCGTCATAAATATTTCTGTCCTTATGCGCTAGAAGATATAATGACAAAACTTCTAAAATGGTGAAATCGCGTAAGACAAATTGCGCACAGAAGGTTAATTCTCTATTTGTAAACATAATTCTTATGCCGCCGCCGAGATTATTCAATCTAATTACGAGTACCAATTTTTTCCTCCGGAAAACCTGTTTTAATATGGTATAAGTATACTGGTTTTGATATTTACTTACCGCGTTGCGTGCTTCACTCTAAATTTCAAAGCCGGTGTTACTTTTGCACAATTCCTGCATTATTTTCACATTCCTGCATTACGGGACATACATGGTGTTATCAGTGACGTGGTTTTCATTAAACATTTTGTCAATCACATACCAGATAAAGGCTAGTTATTGTTACTTACCTTTTTCCCAATCTTTGTACATGTCTTCAGCATCGGTTAAATCAATAGCGTACAGATTGTTTGCCGAGTCTCTCGGATCTGTTCTTAACGTGTTTGGATCTCTCACGGACGGATTTTTTGTCCCTTGAACGACATTGACGTCAACGCCTGTATCGTAGGTGTCAGCACTACCTATCTCTCCCCTTGATTTGCATGCCTTTAGAATGGAGTTAAAACAAAATCTTATCTTCATCTAGAAAGCAATTGAATTATGAGTTATTTATTTATATCCTGTTACAGTCAGATTAATGTTAAAATTGATTATTTTACATGTTTATGTCTTTACTTATGTGAAAACTAATTAAATTTCTTAAAATATGAAAAATTTGTAACCCATGTATAACCGTAAAACCGGCAAACACAACAGTGACAAAGACGTTAGTCATTTTACTATTTCAAAGAATTATTTACACAATTAAAAAAATTAATATTTTATCTTTGTAAACGATTGATACATCCAGTATATATGTACAGTTAAACCTGTATCAGTTACCACCTCCGAATAAAGATCCCCATGTAAATAAAAGCCTCCCTTCACCAACCTCCACTGTTTAAAAAAGCACAACTTTTGTCTTTTTCGGTCTGCCCTTTGGTCCCTTTTGTTTCAATTTTTGCTGTTTTATCAATATAGAAATTTAAAAATTTTGACTTTGTATTGAAATTCCCTTTGATAAAACAGTTTTGGGTTTTTCCCTTTTTAAAATCTACTGAATTTTAAATCAGAATATACCCAATTATTCTAAATTTAAAAGGAAACTTTTAAATCCCCCGTTTAAAACTTGATCCCGCCAAAAGGGGCCTCTTTTAAATTGTTTTCGGTCTATTTCCTTTCTTCGTCCCCTTGTTTTACTAAAAACAAGTAAAAAGCAGTCAAAACCCTTGTTGATTTTCTTTTTGGCGGGTTTTTAAAAAAATCGTCACGTAATGCATTATGTTTTTAAAAAAAGGGGCCCAAAAAGGGCCCAAAGTCGCTCACCTGTATATAGGCCCCCGGAGCGGGCCAGTTTAAACCCCAGGGCTTTTATTTGAACAAACTTGGTTGACACCCATTAGAAGATGTTTCATGCTAAACATCTAAGGTCTAGCTTGTTGGGTTTTTTAAAAGAAGATTTTTTTTAAGTTTTTTTCTTTACACATATAGTTTAAAACAATGACCCCCTGGGGCGGGGCCAATTTTGACCCTAGGGCTTTAACTTGAACAAAATTGGTAGACACCCATTAGAAGATGTTTCATGCTTAATATCTTAGCTCTAGCTCTTTTGGTTCTTTAAAAGAAGATTTTTTTAAGTTTTTACTATATACATATAGGGAAAATCAATGACCCCCAGGGCGGGGCCGATTTTAATTCTAGGAACAAAATTTGAACAATTTTGGCTTTGGACCTATAGATGATACCAAAGACAAATATCAAAGCTCTAGGCCATTTACTTTCAGACCAGAAGATTTTTCAAGTTTTCACTATATGTATATAAGAAAATCAATGACCCCCGAGTGCGGGGCCAATTTTGACCCGAGGGCCATTATTTGAACAATCTTGGTAGAGGTCTACCACACAATGTTTCATGCCAAATATCTTACCTGTAGCCTTTGCCAATTCAGAGAAGAAGATTTTTTATGTTTTACTATATACATATTAGAAAAACCTATGACCCTCCCCCCCCCCCCCGGGTGGGGCCAATTTTGACACTAGGGCCAAAATTTGTACAACTTTGGTATTGAACCTTCAGATGATACCATAGACCAAATATCAAAGCTCTAGGCCATTTACTTTCAGACCAGAAGATTTTTCAAGTTTTCACTATATGTATTTAATGAAAATCAATGACCCCCCGGGCGGGGCCAATTTTGACCCTAGGGCCATTATTTGAACATTCTTGATAGAGGTGTACTACACAATGTTTCATGCCAAATATCTAATCTGTAGCATTTGCCCAATCAGAGAAGAAGATATTTTTAGATTTTACTATATACATATAAGGAAAAACCTATGACCACCCGGGGCGGGGCCAATTTTGACACTAGGGACAAAATTTGAACAACTTTGGTAGAGGACCCATAGATGATACCATATACCAAAAATCAAAGCTCTGGCCCATGTACTTTCGGACAAGAAGATTTTTAATTGTGTTTTTTGAAATCCTTTTCTGGCACTATGACCTACATATGCAACAGACCGAACCATTTGAACAAATTTGAAAGGGGACCACCCAAGGATCATTTCTGTAAAGTTTGATTGATGTGCAGTCATTGGTTTCAGAGGAGATGTTGTTTATGTTAAAAGTTGACGACGCACGACGACGGACGACGGACACAGGGCCATCACAATAGCTCACCCTGAGCATTGCTCAGGTGAGCTAAAAATACTAGATATAATGTACTTTTTTCTGGTCACCTAAACCTACACATATAAATGATGACAATGTAATGTCTTGATTGGATTTCAAATATTATGCCTTGATTAAATGACCAATTGAATGCCTTGATATTTTGATACAACAGAACGCTTTGATTAAATGACCAATCGAATGCGTTGATATTTTGACCAATAGAACGCCTTGATTAAATGACCAATCCAATGCCTTTATATTTTGACCAATAGAACGCCTTGATTAATTAAATGGCCAACAAAATGCCTTCATTAAATGGCAAAAAGCATGCATTGAACAAGTTTGTCTTGATTTTATAACCGATAGAATGCCTTAACCCATTACTTCATGAGCATTTTGTGGAAAATGGCTTTTTTCATTGAAAAGTCTCCCGTTACAAGTTCAAATTGCCATAATACTTTACAAACTGCTTCAACACTAATCAAACTTGGCACATATGTTGACTGGACCATTGCCCTTGAAACAACATGCTCAGGCTTAAATTTTCTGTTACCATGGCAACGAGGGGACATCTCAAAATTCAATCTCAATTTTGCGTTGATGTTTTCCATCAAAATTGATTTTAAAGTGCTGCAACTTCTCAATGGATTGAGATAGAGTCAAATGCTTTTCAGCGTTGGTTACACGTTACCTTATGATCAATATGGGATCATTTATAGCCTCTCACAAGTCCAAAATTTTCTTGGCGATGAGGGGGACTCCGCCCCCCTTCAAACCCCCCAAACAGAAGGGGCATATCCCCCTTCTGGCAACCCCCTGATGTATATTTTGGTTGGGGGACCGCGCCGAAAAAGTGGTCACTTTTTTAACAACATTTCTCAAACAAAAACAAGCGTTGGGGCCTAAATAAGGCATTTTTTCACCATTAGAGACAACAAAAAGGGGGGTGAAAAAGGCGTTAAAAGGCGTGTATATCGCGTAATGGGTTAATTGCCATGATTTGATAGCAAAGAGAATGCCCTGATTTTTAGGCCAATAGACTTCAAAATTTCCCAAACAGCAAAAGAAATGGACAAAAGATACGTAACTATTCAATGAATTGTGTAAGCGGCTGGAGAGGTGCGGAGTGGTATCCCATGGGTCCCGATCTCGGGTCATTACAAATTTGAGTATGAATATCAATATAGCGGGGAATTTGTCACAGCATAGAAATACCTCTGATTGAGTAGTAAGTGTATACATGCGGCCGGTATCTCAGTCGGTATGGCTGCAAAACGATATTCCAAGGGTCTCAGATTCGATAACCGGTAGGGACTGCACATTTTACATAAAATAAATCACTCTTTGAGAGAAATGGTTCATACAGAAAAAACACATTCACCACAAATGACAATGAACAAAATATTCATACAATATTGAATAAATATACAAAGGAACATTGAGGGCCAACGAATTGGTTCACATCACATCGTATCGATCGTATCGTATCGTATCATATCATATCATATCGTATTATTAATAGCTTTAGCTATTGACGTGACGTCAGTGGGTAACACGGGCATTTCGGTGCCATTCATAAGTTACTTTGAAAGTTTTTTGTGTTCGGTATAATAAGATACTGTTTAGGATGACATATCACATACTGCTTAGGATTACAGAAAAAAAATAATGCCGACCCTTAACTATCGTTTCGACGGACAACATTTGCCTCGGGTGTATGACACTGAATATTTCGTTCTGGCACCCACATTGGGATGTGATATATACATCAATTTGCTTGTTATAAAATATAATCGTGAGACATGTCATTTATAAAGACGGCGGATAGAAATCTATGATTTTTATCAATTTAACACATTGCTAATTTAATAATAGGACTGTTCACGTAAAAACAGAAAGAATAATAATAGTATTGCAACCTATCTCCATTTTCTTTTTCATATCGACGGTAGATAAGTTCATGAATGCTGTCACATTAAAGTCTAGTCTTTTAAAAAGCTCTTCCGCCATCTGAACGTCTCTTAGACATCCCTTCCTCTCCCCTGAACATTGGCCTTTAAACTCATTTCCGATTATGAGAGCCGTACCTCGGAACTTATGGTCGAACTGATACACAGACATCATTACAATAACAATATAATGGGATTGCTTTCTGGAAAATAAAATATAAAATAAACTAGAAATGTGTCCATAGGACACGGGTGCCCCCACACGCCACTGTTCTGCCAATCTTATGACTCTAAGTCAAATATTTTTTGGACTACATGTGCCACAAGTTGAAAACTAAAAATATTTTACTAAGTAAAGGGCAAGAACTTTACAAATACTGAATTAATCCACAAGCAAACCCCAAGGTGCATAAGAACACATGCTGACCAACATTCTTGTAAACTTTCAGGCCAACAAGTTAAATACTTTTTGAGCTATGCATGAACAAGTTGGAAATTGCAAATTTATACTACTGTAAGTCAAGGGCAATAATTCTAACAAAACTAAAAAAAATCAACACGCAAAAAAACAGTGATGTTGATCATTATTCCTGTAAAGTTGGTTGATTCTTACTGAAGCACTCAATGAACAAATAACACAACATAATAAAACGGTTTTTACTTAGTCAAGGGCAATAACTATATAAATAAATACTGGATAATCCACCAAGCCAAAACTAGGTGCACAACTACATTTGCTGAGAGCAACATTCCCGTAAGGTTTCATGACTATGTCAAATCCTTTTTGAGTTACATGCGACACAAGTTGAAAATTGCAAAGTTTCAATGGCAATAACTCTAAAAATATAAACAAGAGCCCGGTTTGAGCCGGGTGATGCTCCCCGAATAGGTTTATGACACAGGAAATCACACCTCTT